AGGCAGAAGTCTCAATCAGAAGCCCCAGAAGAGATAAGTGGAAGACAGAAGCTCACCAGTTATTAACATTGCTTAATTTCTCTCTTATTCCTAATCTATTCCCCTCTTATGCCTAATACATATCAAACTCTGGGTTGCTGTGCATGTGGAGCACACACAGCAGTTTGGAGCTCTGAGAACTTGGCTCAGTTTGCATTTCATTGGAAGCAGTGCAGCTTATGCTTTAGTTTATGTTTCATGCTTCTTTTCTCCCCATAAGCCGAGGTGAATTTGCACAGAGCCACCAGTGTGTGAGCTGTGATGGCCAAAACATGGAACGAGATGTAGTGATTTCCAGGAGAGAAACTGAGCAAACAGCTCTGGGGCAGTAATGTGTCAAGCCCCACAACTGCTTCCTCGTGTGGAGATCGATCTGAAACTTCTGTTACATGAACACAAGCACTTTTAAACCAGATTGTGGGCAGAGGGATTCCTCTTAGCTGATGTACAACTGAAGTGCACAGGGATAAACAAGGGTAATTGAACTTAACAACAGCAGTAAAAGATTTCTCATACAGATGAGCATCCTGCAAATAACACAGTTGTAAATAACATGAGTGATACATCTCTGAATCCAAGATACATCTCAAGAGTGGAATTATTCAAGTATGGAATCACGGTGGTACTCCCCTCATACTCACACACTCAGTGCTATGCTCCCCTGCTGCACCAAGCAGGTATATTATTTCATTTTAAAAACTGGAAGGCTGAGGTATAAAATGACTAAAGAGCTTTTGAGGATGTCTTTCAAGGAGGCAAACCTGAAAGCCTGTTTACTTGACCAGCAGCACAAAGAAGTTCACTGTGAATGGTATTCACAGCAAAGAATAATTAATTTTTCATCCAGAGGACATTCTGTTGTGAATTAAAAGTCACTGTGTTGCATTCATTACTGCATCCAGGAAAAATCACAGTAGAAAACTGTTCTGGAAATACTTTATCTGTATTAATCACTAAATGACCCAATCCAAGCAGAACTGCCATAACAGCCAGCTCTCCTTCCTAAGAAATTGTGACGCAGATGAATCCAGGTGCCACATCTCTCTCTAAGATTCCTGCTTTTTGTCACTTCAGGATTATCACTGAAAGAATCCGAGTGCACCATGGCTCCACACGGAGCCAACTGCAGTAAGTAGAGGAGGGAGCTCTATGTAAGTAGAAAAGGGGTCACACAGAACTTCTAACTTTTACAGGTACTGCTTGCTGCAGCAGCATCCAGTCCCAAGCATCACTTCACCTTTTCAGCTTTCTTCCTTCCTGTGAAATCATTATTTCCATTAGCACTGGGAGATGGTTAGCTATGTTATTGTCTTTCTGATGTTCCTGGAAAGTGTACCTTCTTAGCCTCACGTATATGTAGTGAAGCGCTGATGCATCAGAGCTTCTGCAAAGTGCTTGTGTCAGTCGTATGCCTTCTTAAAATTCATGTCTTTAAACAGCAAAAAAATATTAAAAAATAAAGGAAATTTTAAAAAAAATTGTTTAAAAAATATTCTCACAAGCAAAGTTCCCTGCTGATTACTTGAATTTACACTGCAATCATAATGCCTCACAAGTCTGATTTAAAATATTTTGACTTACCAATTGCCGCGGACATAAATGATCTCTAATGGTCTTTGGTAAAGGAAAGAACCACCGCAGTGTAACCAGAGCTGCTGTTTTTACAACAGCCTGACACAAGCGCCAAGGGTGATCTCCCACTCTTCCATTCAAGAAAGTGTGAACACAAAAGCCTAAATATTGTCCTTATGCTTAAATATTAACATCATTAACACACGGCTAACGCTCTGCTGCCAATTCAGTATTTCTAAGGAGAAGGAATGCACTTGCATCTATTCTAAGTGTTCCAGAATAAGGCTGCAGGGTTTCAGTTGTGCAAACAGTTGCTTCTGATTTTGCACACATAACAACTGGGCACCCCACTGGCAGCTCTGTCTCACCAGGTGCTGTGGGCTTCTGGAGGGAAGGGTCCTTCCCCAGAGCTGATGCGCAGCACCTGGCTGCTGCTGCTGACACCTCACGTGCCCTCCCCAACACCAGCATGGCTCCATTCACTTTTGTCCCACACCGCAGGAGTGTGAAATCCCTCACAAGCACTGCTCAAAAGGCTCTTGGCTTTAACAGATGCAGGATGCATGCCCATCACGTTGGGAATAAACTGCATGTTTTTCAATCAGAAGCAGTACAAACACAGCATACCTTCATTAATTTTAGAAAGAGCACATTTCTGCATTTGCTCCCTAGGAAATTCCTTGAGTCCCAGCAAAGGACATAATGGTGGTTTCAGAAAAGAAGTTACCTTTCAGGTAATGTCTCCCTGATGGAAAACACACTTATGTTTGGAGCTGTGTTTGTGAGCACAGATGGGTTCATGGGACCAGCGGTCTCTCCGCAGGCAGAGGTGTGTGCCTGTTCCCAATGCTCCCCACAATCCACCAAAGGGAGAATTATGATAAAGTTCAGCCTCAGGTTGCTGGAAGCTGCAGGGTGGCTTTGGCTCTCAAAACTAACAGCTTGGGAAAAGCACTTGCATGCCACACACTGACATGAGCTCCCAGAGAATACATCAGTAAATAGAGGAATCTCCTCTGACACCTCAGGGACTTGTTGAGAAGCTGCCCTTAGGCCCTGACAGAAAGGAGGATAACTTGAACTCAGTGCTGCAAACCTTCTGAAGAGCAGTGTTTCTCTCACTTCGTGGCAGAGAATCCACTTCTAGAGAGCTCAGGTGAAGAGAGCAATTACTTAAGAGTGATGCAGGTGCAATTCAGCTCTGAAGGCAGCAGAGACAGCAGCAGCCCACCTGCCCAGAAGCCCTAGCTTTTGTCAGACTTCCATTGCGCATCTTTCTGGAAATGCTGAGGGAGAGCAGTTTGGTGGAACGGGATGGCCTCGCTTCCTCTGCCGGAGCTGCCCCGGCACCGCCCGTTGGGAGAGCTCTGAGGAAGAGCTTCAACCGGCGCCGAGATGCTGCGGGACCTCGTGCTGCCCCTGCACAGCTTCATGGACTGCGGCAGCACCACCTGCACCATCCCGTCCCATCTCCCCTCTCTATCTCAGGGTACAGGGTCGCTTCTCCTCGGGGATGGAGGAGGGATGGCAGAGCCAACACGAGCAAACACAGCCTTCAGTTTGCCAGAGATGAAACCAGCAATGTTAAGAAGGAGCTGAACAGAGTGTTAGGCACACTGGATTCCTGCGCGGCTGCTCTTGAGCCGAGAGGAGGGTGCGGTGCATGCTACCCGGGCTCATCCCAGCTCACAGCACCGAGTGGGGAGCACAGGTGCCGAAGAGCAGCACAGCAGCCGCATGTGCTCTCCCGAGGCTGCGGAACCGCAGCAGCTTCTTCTCAGGGAGGCCAGCAGACAGGCAGCGCACCGGGAACGGGACTGGCGGCGCGGAGTGAAGAACGCTCGGTTTTCCCTCTGCGGAGCCGGAGGAAGGACCTGACCGACCTCGACCGGAGAACGAGGTGGATGTGCCGGCCTGACCCGGGAGGCCGCAAGTAGCGGGCAGGGAGGACGGGGCTTCCACTACTCGACAGTGAGCGGCAGCGGAGGTGCCCCTGGGAGCAAAACGAAAGCGAACGGCGAAAACACCCTCCATTTCCCTTCCGTTCCGTAGAAAGGCAAACAGAGAAACCATCATTCGAATCAAACGAAAAGCAAAGATGGATTGGGGGGAGTTGCATCGCGACGCGCACTGCCGCTTTGCGGGAGCGCCGGTGCTCAGAGCCGGGCGGGATGCGGAGCGCTGCGGGAAGGATGCGGCCCGACGGGAGCGGGGCCGGTCTGTAACGACGCACCCCGGTAACGCGGGCTGCTAGGAAAATAAAAGCTGTCCAGACTCAAAACACACTCGTCAAACACACCGAAAAGTTTGAATTATTTATTTCCTCTGGGGACTCCTGTAACCATTTATTTTTAATAGAGCCTAATTAAGAGTTCCCCAGCGGGTTTTACTTTCGTAAATATTTCAGATGAGTTCGGGCTTCTGGGCAAATCCTCCAGAGGGGAAAAAAAAAAAAAAAAAAAGATAATAAAGGATGCGAGGCGCAGAGTTTCAGCCCTTCCCTCCCGTCGGCCAAAGAGGCAACAAGTGGCCGCCGTGCGGGAGCAGCGCGGCTCCGGCGGTCCCTTCGGGAACGGCCCGGGGGCTCCGAGGAGTTACGAAGGCACACGGCGATCCACGGCCCCCGGCCCGGCCGTGGAGCGGCTGTGCGGGACGGGACGCATTGAGCGGCGGAGCCGCCCCGCATAAACGCCGTGTAAAGAGTACGGAGAGCTCTTCGTTTTAAAGATAGAAGAAAACGAGGCACAGGGAAGGAGATTTTTCGATCACTTTTTTTCTTTTTTTTTTTTTTTTTTTTTTTTTGGAAGAAATTCGGTAAACAAAAAAAAATTAAAACTTTTCTTCGTCTGATATGTCAAAACATAGTTCACAGTAAAATTCACAAACCGATTTACATAAGTTTACAGCTTAAGAAAAACCCAGACACACAACTTGCTATAAATAAAAGAAAGGGTTTGCGACCCGCACAGCTCTCTCCCACCGCCCCCTTTCCGTAGGAACAAAACCCTAAAGTTAAAAACTCTACGAATTGCGGACACGAACCGAGCGGCAACTCGGCAAGGTGGGAAGAACAACACTTTCAGTAACCACAACGAAAATGTAAACAACGGAACAACTGAGTTTGGAAACAACACCCGCCGGGTCGGTTTTTTCGTTTTGTCATTGCAACGCTAAAAACGAACGGGAAGATGCACCATCTTAAAGACTTGGAAGCGAACAAAACTACGCCCAACCCCGCGGAGACCGGGAGAGTCACCGTGGCTTAAGAACTTCACGGGGCTTTAGGAGGCGGTCGTGCTCTGTTAAAAGAACAGATTGCCCAAATCATTTTTGTACAAAAGGAGAAAAAACCAAAAAAAAGAGACCAACAAAAAACAAAGACGACAACTAACGGATTTTCTGTTTAAAATTTCTCCCAAGTTAGTATCGAGTCTGCTGAGCCGCACGTCCCGGTGCTGGGGTTGCGATGAGGAGCCGTCCGGAGGAGGCCAGTTTGTTTATATGTGAGTTAGTGGTACGGTGCCGTTCACGGCAGTCCCGGCACTCTGGTAGTGCTGGTGCACACTGTGCAACCTGCTGCCCTGCAGGGCCGAAGGGTCTGTGGCGTCGCCCCCCGGGGGCAGGTACATGCTGATCATATCCCGCAGGTCTCCCAGGCAGGCCCTCTGCGAGTGCGAGGTGATGGCCGGCGGAGGCGAGCTGGGCTCGGACTTCACCACCGAGCCCATGGAGCCCAGGCTCATGGCCGTGGAGGGCTGCTGGCCGTAGGCGGCGGGGGACATGCTGTAGGTGGAGGCGGCGTTCATGTAGGTCTGCGCCGTGGACATCATAGGGCTGTACTGCAGGCCCGGCATGTCGTAGCGGTGCATCTGCTGCAGCTGCGGGCTGTTCATGCCCGGGTGCTGCCCGTAGCCCAGCTGGTCTTGCATCAGGGAGTAAGCCCCGTTGGTCCAACCGTTCATATGGGCGTAAGTGTCAATCCTCTGGCCCACCCCGACGGGGCTGCTCACTGCGTTGCCCCCTCCGGGGGCCAGCAGGTTGCCCGGCAGAGAGTATTTGTCCTTCTTCAGCAAGGTCTTGGTCTTCCTCCGGGGCCGGTATTTGTAATCCGGGTACTCCTTCATGTGCACGGCCCGCAGCCTCTTGGCCTCGTCGATGAAGGGCCGCTTCTCGGCATCGCTCAGCAGCTTCCAATCGGCCCCAAGGCGTTTGCTGATCTCCGAGTTGTGCATCTTGGGATTCTCCTGGGCCATCTTCCGCCTCTGGCCCCGCGACCACACCATGAAGGCGTTCATGGGGCGCTTCACACGGTCCTGGTCCGACCCTCCCCCCGCTCCGCTGCCGGCCCCGCCGCCGCCTTTGCCGTTGCCGCCCGGTGCCGGGTTCCCCCCGGTGCTGCCCGGCGTGGGCTGCGGCGTCTTGATCTCGGTCTCCAGCATGCTGTACATGGCCGGGGCCGGTAAGAGATGCGCCAGGGTGGCAGACGGGCGGGCACAGCTCGGGGAAAGGAAGTTCAAAATAATCAAAGCAAAAGAAAGAAGCGGTCCGGGCGGCGGCTGCAGGAGGAGGAAGGAGCTTTCCCGTGCCGCTCCCCGAAGTGCAGCGGAGGCTCCCGCGGGCAGCGCTGAGCGATGCGCACACCTCTCCCAGGGGCATTTGATTGACGGGCTATAAATGAGCGGGCGGCGGCCAATCAGCGAGCGGTTCCCGACAGCCCCAACGCCGGTAATGGGCCGGTTTGGAGCGGACGGGGATGGGCAAAAAAGTTGGTGTTTGGAGAGTGCTGGGACTGAGCCCCTCCCGCCGCAACGCCCGAGGTGCTGGACCTGCAGCGGGCACTCTCCGGGGTGCGGAGCGGGCAGCGGGGATCGTGCGGGTGCCGGCGGGGCTGGGGTTGCGGAGCGGAGCGGAGGACCACCGCGAGCGGATCCACGAGTTTGGTGTGCACAAAGAAATGTGAGCTTTCCGGCTGGAAGATTATACGAACAGCTGTTCCTGTAACTCACACAGCGGATGAAGGGGACGAGAATTGAACTTTCGCCTCCGGAGCGGTCTCTGCGGAGGGAAGCCGCCCTGCCCCGTCGGCAACAGGGGCGGCTGCCGGGCGCTCCGTCCAGGTGCCAGGCGGGTGGTCCGCTGCAGCTCTGTGCCTCCCTTCGTGTTGCTGGGCCGGGCTGGATGCCGGCAGGACGCTCCCGGTCCCCCACTCCTCGCCGAACCTCGGCCGCTTGAGTTTTTTCCACTCGGCTGCCCCAGAGGGAGGGGGATGGGGGATGGTGCTTTGTAAAAACCGTTTTCATGGTAACGGCGAAGTTCCTTGTGAAAGAAAACTTGGGAAGGCTGGGGTGACCGGAGAGGAGCTCCCTGCAGCTGTCAATCACGGGCTTCCCTTTCCGTCCCTTCCCTCCCCTTCCCTTTCCATCCCTTCCTCCCTCGGAGGCGCAGACGCCCGCACCTATACGGCCGGGGCCGGGAGCTCCCGAAAGGCACGCAGCCCGTCTGTGCTCTTCCTCTTTCCTCGTCCTTCTGCCGTGTTCCGCTCCAGTTCCGCACGGGCAGAGGCACGGGACTGTCCTTTGCCAGCGGAGATCCATCACCGCCGGTGCTTTCCGATCAAACTGCCCCGGGGGCGCGGGACTGGGCAGGGGGCGCGGAACAGACGTGCCTGGGCACCCCGTCGCGTCCAGGGGGGCCGGCGAGGAGGAAAGCTGCAGCTTGGCAGCCCTCGGTAAGAGAAGAGCATAAGGATAACGGCGCTGACTGGCAGGGCGGTGGGAGGACACGGGGAAGCAGTCGGGTTCTCTGCCCAGCTGGGAAACGCGAAACGTACCGGCTGCAAACAAACGGCCGTGCTGGAAGGAGGGAATCAACACGGTGTGCTGGGTGGGGGTTTCATCGGAGTGGGTCGGAACAGTGCAAAGTTGCCGCTCGTTTTGTACGCGTTTCTTTACTGACAAAATCATCTGAACAAAGTCAGTGGGGGAAATAACGCCGCTAGGACAAGCTGTGGTGCGACAGGAGCTTTGTCTGGTTTGTTGTTCAGTAGTGTTGGACGAAGTGAATGCGTTGCAGGGAGACAGCGGGTTTTACTTATGGCGCTGTCGCGCAAAGAGCGCCGCGGGTGGAACTTCTGCAGCACATCGGGAGAGTTTTGAAGAGCTCTGTTTAAGTTCAAACTCGTCCAAACATTTTGACCGCTCAGTCCAAGGCTAAACTTTGCCAGGCAGGGGTGGGAGACGGACTGATCTGTGTCCTGGCCGCTCTGAAATGTTCTGATACGAGCGTTTGTCGGAGCGACCGAGTACGCGTAATCGCAAAGAACATCTCGGCGGGGTACGGAACTGGGGCCGACAGCCCTGCGAGAGATGTCAGCCATCTGAATAAATGGTACAAGCTTCAAACTCATATTTAGTCTTTCAGTTTGTTTTCCTGCGGCCTGAGGTGTCAATTGCATTGTTGGCATGTTTTGCTGTTTTTTTTTTCCCAACGGACACATCGTTTAGCATCTCACGGTTTATGTTATTAAAAGCCAGGCAATATTTCTCTTGAAATATCACTCATCTCCTCACTGATGAATAAGTGTAAGTATAGGTCGGTATTTCCAGATTTCACGGGTGCACGAAGTGCTCTCACAGCTCTGCGGTTTTGATGAGACATACTTAAAAACGCGGCCGTTTTCTATTTGCAGAAGAAGGGGCTGAGCAGGACACCCAGCTCGGAACCTCTACCTGTCGGTAATGGTTCTGCCACGATTTGAACTCTCGAAGGAGAGGCAGAAGGCCGCCCTCAGCGCTGTGCTGTCCCGCGGAGCCGCGTTCCTCCCCAGCCGCGTGCCGGGGAAGCATCTGCGGTTGGATTCTCCTGGGAGGGGAGCTGGGGAGGTTGCACAGGTCCCGGCAGAGAGAAGTGAGGCTCAGCCGTGTTTCCGCCGCCGGCATCCCTCTGCTAACGCAAGGGACGCTCTCCAAGGGTGGAAGCTACAGATCGCTACTGAGACACAGTAGGGAAGGAAGGGGAAGCGAGGCAAGAGCCGCTATACGAGCTGTTATTTCCAAAAACGTCTTTCCGAGCGCTTTAAAAAGGTCCGATCCCAGTCCCAGCCTTGTCCCCAGTCCTGCCCGTAAGCACAGTTGCTGCCAAGCAGGGAAGGGGCAGAAGCAGGAGAGCTGGCAGCGGGTCTGGGGAGCACCACGCCTGGATGGAGCCATTTTCCTAAATTCCTTCCTCGGCTGTGGCTGGGATGAGGGGATGCTATGTGGGGCTGAGAGCACCCGGTGCCCAGTGGGAGCCAGAGGCACTCGTGTACAGAAGTACTGTTGTCAAACTCAGAAAAGCTCTCGGTTCTGCTTTCGTTTTTAATTTTATTTATTTATTTTTTTTTTTTCTGTGACGAAGGAGTGTGAGGCAAAAGCAGGAATTTACAGCACACTCCGAACATGAGCAGAAAACCCATGGCTGACAAGGAAAGATCCGCTTCATATGTGATCAGCACTTAATAAGCAATAGCCATTAATATCTGTTAATTGCAGCTCTGTAGAACTTGGGGAAAGGGGTTCTTGGAAGGGAAGGTTGCTGGCTTTTAGGTTGCTGGCTTTTAGAGCAATGCTATGCACCAAAAAAGCCCCATTTAATCCCATTATTAAAACATCCCCTCCGATCCTGAGCATCAGTACCAACCGGGCTCAGCCCTGACATATGCCTGAACGCGGAGCTGAGCCCCATTCGTTTGGTTCCTGCTGACTCTCGCTTGGATGATTCCCTGAAAATAGCCGTGTGATGCTTAAAAGAAAGGTTGGCGTATTTCTGCATTCTGACTCTAAGATTTCACCAAAGTTTCCACACAGTGATGCAGCTCTCAAGTGGGTCACGTCGGGCTGGTGCTGCAGCCCCATCTCAATAGATTGAAACAGGATTATTTTTATTCCCCTACCAGCGGTGTCACATCAAACCAGCCTCTCGAGCTGCCTTGGACCTAGTTCCCATTCCAGCTGGGAGCGCAAACCACCACACCCCCAAATGGGTCCCCTGTCTCCTCTGCATCTTCACCCGTGCCCTCTGCAGAGCATTACAGCGATTGCAGCATCCCTGCTGCTCATCTGCCCCAAAGCACGAAGGATACCTTTGATGACAACATTATAAACAGCAACATTTAAAACCAAAAATCTCACGAGCATGGATAAAACCCAGCAGCCTTTTGGGTGCAGCTCAGTTCCTTTGAACCGAGCCTCCAAGCGCATTCAGGAGGCAGCAGCAAATGCTGTTTTTCATCACTTTTTCCTCCCAGCTGAACTTTTATTTGGCTTCTTCCAACAATAGCAGGCTGCAAACAGACCTCTTGTAGCGCCGCTGAATAGACTCTTTCTGGCCCGGATTGTTTCCACCGCCACAAAAACAACCAGGAGCTCCGTGTCTTAATTAGGCTGTTCCCGGCCCTCGCTCATTCATTCAGGTGTTCGCCAGGAATTTGTTTATTAGCCTCTGACAAACGGCTCCTCCTGGTAATCGCCTCATGGGGTTGGCTTCTGGGGAGGGAAGGGATGCGGCAGGGTGGGGGGATTGCTAATAAGACCCCTCATCTCCAAGTTACCAATTAACAGCTGCACAGCGGACCACCAGCACAGGACATCTTCCCTGAGCTCGCTGAGGAGCCCGGCGGAAACGAGAAAAACACCGAGTGGGGAAAAAAAAAAGGGCACGAAACCCGGTGCTGAAGACGGGGGCAGGAACTTTGTGCAGCTCCCCATGCCGTTCCCAGTCCCACACCTCTGCCCGAGAGCAGCAGCCCGTCCGCGTCCCTCCCGGTTCCACCCAGCGGCACGGGGCGGAGCAGAGCGGCCTCTGGTGCCCACGCAGCGCCCTTTGCCGCTGGTGTCCCTGCAGCCCCGTGGGCTGGGGGTGTCCCCATTCAGGCCCTTTCCCCCGCTCTCCTGTGACAGCTGGTCGCAGAACTCATTCTCCAGGAAAATAAACCCGTTCAATCACCTTTTTTTTTTAAACCCATCGATAACTTGGTGAATCCTTCCCGCAGCGTTTTCTGTTCGGATCCAGTAACGCACCTCATTTGCTGGCAATGATGGTGAGGTGTTTTCTTTTTTTATGAGTCATATTGGAAATGCGGCATTAATTGCAAAACTCGAACTTGCTAATTAGCTGCAAATAAACTATTAATGAGTGGCAAATTAAATCAAAACACATCTTATTTCTCCTCTCTGACATGCAATTTTGCAGGCGTATATTGTTTCAAACTGCAGCCTGTATCACTGGAGCAGCAAATAGAGATCCTGAAAGGTTTCTCTTCGGGACAAATAATTAAAATATATTCTCCTTTAATTGACATTATAGAGGACACAAATGAGGTTTTCCTTTTATAAATAAATAGCAGTTTCTAAATAAAGCTCTGTGGGCTGCAGAATGGAGGTTTCAACCAAATGAATAGTCATTACTACCTTTTCAATGATGTGGGCCTTTTGATCAGAAAAGAAATTAGCTCTAAAGGACAGACAATAGGAAGCCTGCCCTGCAATAGGAAGAAAATTAGATGGCTAAGGCTCTTAACAACACCTATCTCTATAAACCATGGAGCTTCTTGCTTTTCAATTACAGCTGTTCATTTCATAGAAGAAA